CCAGACTGCACGTCACTTCCCATTTTATAACGCCGGTACCGGTTGCCAACATTATAACAGCTGGTACCGGAAATGAGAAAATCCCAGGTCCCGTAGGATTTCTCATGCTGAAGGTTCTACAGGTGTCGGGGAGGAAGCATCGTCACTGGTCTGCTACGGAAGGCAGATTCAACCAGGTTACCGAAGACATCAGGATCCCAGCAGGACCAAGTTCTGCGCGGCTAGCTTGTTGACTACAGATCCGTCAGGACGTTTCGTCTAGACTACGTTTAAACTTTTTTTATTTAACGCCTGCCTCCCACCTACATCAATATCTTTGCAATCTTTCGTCGCAATGACGAAGGTCCGGGCGAGATACCGGCGCCCCGCTGAAGAGAGGCAGAGGGCTGTAGAGCGGGTGGAGATATAGTTTTGTTACGTTTAAGGGCAGCGGAGGAACACCCTGGCCCGAGTTAAGGACGTGGTGCCCGGCTGTCGCCCGATGCCCTGGGGAAGCTGCCGTGGAGGATCTCCAGGAGTCACGTACCCATTCGCTAAGGAACGCTCTCAATTTGGTTTAAAGGGACGACTCGAGGGAAAAGCTAAGAGTTATCGGCTATATGGATCTCGACCAATCAGAATGATTGGTTCACGAATTAGACTATTGTCAATTTACTGCTTTAAAGCAGTCTGTCTTGGGACACCGATCGGGGTGCCTCGAGCTGCCTCGCGCTCCCGGGCTGTTTGTTGACAGTTTTTCTAGCTGTGTTTTCTGTACGGTATTAAAAGTTTTCTCGTTGCTCTCGCTATATACAGAAAATCCTACCCATTTTTCGCGTGTGTTTCGGAGGTGCAGTGCTGTGCTATAGCAGCCCACCTGAGTATCCTCTGAATGCAATTCTCGGTCTTCACGGATCAGCTGAACCAGCTTCGGTGAGTACTCCCAATTTATTAATCGGTGGAGGGATTTCGATTTTATAGCTCCGATTCGGTCTGCTACGTTCTCGATCAGTTGCTCTCTGTTTCTGGCAGTATTTACCTGACCTTTACTCCGACCCTCTCTACCTTAACCCAGCAGCCTGAGCTGCCGTGCATTTCTGTAATCGTTCACTCTGTGCATCCAGTTGCGTTTCTCGATTTTACGCGTCCTCCAAAATTGACAGGATTCGTCAGAGCTCTAGTTTTGACGGAGACTCTGTTCCACCTCAACTCTCAGGTCATACTGGCTAGTCAGTTCCCAGTGAATCAAGAACTGGCTGGCGCCCGCCGGGCATCCGGACGCATGGAATGTGGGACGTAGGATAGATAGCTCTCGGATTCTTGTTATCGTTGTGGAGTTAAGAAAATACGTTACGATACATAACCTTATTAAAAAATAATTCAAATGCTTGGATCGAGACTTTGAGGAATTACAAAAATGTTACTCCCGTTTTCTTCATGCACGGTGTACAACCTTATACGTTAGGAAACAGAGTCGTAATTTAAAGTTACGTTGAATGGTCGTAGACTCGTGCGGAATGTCACATATTAGAAAACTGTCCGAGTCTTGAAGATTTCTGGCGGTGAAATAAATTCCAACGGATTCAGACGCCCCCCCCCCCCCC